TGGGAGGTCACATGACGTCACTCTTATCTCTATTAGTAAAACACAGACCTGACCGGAGAGGGGAGGAGGATTCTGGGAGGTCACATGACGTCACTCTTATCTCTATTAGTAAAACACAGACCTGACCGGAGAGGGGAGGAGGATTCTGGGAGGTCACATGACGTCACTCTTATCTCTATTAGTAAAACACAGACCTGACCGGAGAGGGGAGGAGGATTCTGGGAGGTCACATGACGTCACTCTTATCTCTATTAGTAAAACACAGACCTGACCGGAGAGGGGAGGAGGATTCTGGGAGGTCACATGACGTCACTCTTATCTCTATTAGTAAAACACAGACCTGACCGGAGAGGGGAGGAGGATTCTGGGAGGTCACATGACGTCACTCTTATCTCTATTAGTAAAACACAGACCTGACCGGAGAGGGGAGGAGGATTCTGGGAGGTCACATGACGTCACTCTTATCTCTATTAGTAAAACACAGACCTGACCGGAGAGGGGAGGAGGATTCTGGGAGGTCACATGACGTCACTCTTATCTCTATTAGTAAAACACAGACCTGACCGGAGAGGGGAGGAGGATTCTGGGAGGTCACATGACGTCACTCTTATCTCTATTAGTAAAACACAGACCTGACCGGAGAGGGGAGGAGGATTCTGGGAGGTCACATGACGTCACTCTTATCTCTATTAGTAAAACACAGACCTGACCGGAGAGGGGAGGAGGATTCTGGGAGGTCACATGACGTCACTCTTATCTCTATTAGTAAAACACAGACCTGACCGGAGAGGGGAGGAGGATTCTGGGAGGTCACATGACGTCACTCTTATCTCTATTAGTAAAACACAGACCTGACCGGAGAGGGGAGGAGGATTCTGGGAGGTCACATGACGTCACTCTTATCTCTATTAGTAAAACACAGACCTGACCGGAGAGGGGAGGAGGATTCTGGGAGGTCACATGACATAACTCTTATCTCTATTAATAAAACACAGACCTGACCGGATAGGTGAGGAGGATTCTGGCAGGTCACATGACATCACTCTTATCTCTATTAATAAGACACAGACCTGACCGGAGAGGTGAGGAGGATTCTGGGAGGTCACATGACATCACTCTTATCTATTAATAATACACAGACCTGACCGGAGAGGTGAGGAGGATTCTGGGAGGTCACATGACATCACTCTTATCTATTAATAAAACACAGACCTGATTGGGAGTACCAAATGACATGACTTATGGGGGTGGCGTGACACATGTTGGAATGGCAATCATTTCAATACTTTAAAAAGTTTGAACCTTGTTTGGATGGTGACATAAGTTGTGTTTTGGCTTTCAATATAGAATTATATCGCTTTCAAGTTGTCCGATGGCTTGGTGGCTTCCAACATGATGAAGATTCAGAGACCCATGATAGATCCTCCATCTCACTCCCTGAGAAAGAACAAGAAGGTCAAAGAAGTCACCAGTGAGATGATTGAGCTGCTGACAAGAGAGGTGAGGAGGATTCTGGGACATTGTCCAGTAACAGAAGAGATGCCTCTGGATGGTGACTGTATCATTGTGTATTTTTAGGATGTCACCTTCTCTTTCTGCACATCTGATGCCGTGATGGAGAACCGGCCGCCCCTCACATCACCGGGTAAGAGGAGACTTTCATTTCTTGAGTATTGAGGATCCCCCTAGATACACATCCTCTGATAGAAAGACATAGAAACAATGTATTCAGTCAGTGTGTGTGTTTCCTACAGATGGATCCAGGAACAGGAATGCCCCAGAGAAATGTCCAAGTCCTCAGGATTCTGGAGATTCTATAGAGGAACATCACCGGATCCCTCATCATTATCAGGTAGATGGAATCGGATGTGGACACTGCCATCTTGGTGTGCTGCTGTAGACACTGCCATCTTAGTGTGTTGCTGTAGACACTGCCATCTTGGTGTGTTGCTGTAGACACCGCCATCTTGGTGTGTTGCTGTAGACACCACCATCTTGGTGTGTTGCTGTAGACACCGCCATCTTGGTGTGTTGATGTGGACACTGCCATCTTGGTATGTTGCTGTGGACATTTCCATCTTGGTGTGTTGGTGTGGACACTGCCATCTTTGTGTGTTGCTGTAGACACTGCCATCTTGGTGTGTTGCTGTAGACACTGCCATCTTGGTGTGTTGCTGTAGACACTGCCATCTTGGTGTGTTGCTGTGGACACTGCCATCTTGGTATGTTGCTGTGGACATTTCCATATTGGTGGGTTCCTGTGGAGACTGCCATCTTGGTGTGTTGCTGTCGACTCTGCCATCTTGGTGTGTTGCTGTGGACACTGCCATCTTGGTGTGTTGCTGTGGACACTGCCATCTTGGTGTGTTGCTGTGGACACTGCCATCTTGGTGTGTTGCTGTAGACACCGCCATCTTGGTGTGTTGCTGTAGACACTGCCATCTTGGTGTGTTGCTGTGGACACTGCCATCTTGGTATGTTGATGTGGACACTACCATCCTGGTATGTTGCTGTGGACACTGCCATCTTGGTGTGTTGCTGTGGACACTGCATCTTGGTGTGTTGCATCTAGCCAGCTTCTTGCAGGACGTTGGGAGTAACGACCCTCCCAATACCTCCTACCTTTGTGATTATGATGGAAGCCATAATGCCAATAGCACAACATAGCCAAAGGGACTCTCTTCTTCTTGTGTAGGACATGCCTAAAAGAAACCGGAATGATTTGAGAGAAGAAGAGCCGTATGTGATGGGTGATGAGCCGTGTAAGGAGGAGGAACGTTCTCCAGAGATCAGCACAGGTGAGGAATAAACACTAAATCCAGAGAAGACTCCCAGATTCTCCTTGTTCAGTCCCTACAACAATCTCTTCTTCTCTATCAGTGGACAGTAGTGGGCAGCAATATTCTTTATTGTCTATATTCACAGACCCCGGAGACACCAGAGACGCTCAGGAGAACCTCAAAGCTGAGGAAGAAGTACATGTGATTATAAAAGAGGAGGAAATCCCTCCAGAGATCAGCTCAGGTGAGTAATGACGGCCGCGGTCCTATAAAGAACTTCCCATTGACTAGCTCTGTCATTGGCCTCCATCTCCATTGGCCTGGATCACATGTTCTGAGTGCAGATACTTTCCTCCAGTCCTTGTCTGTCATTAATCACCTCAAGGATATCCTACATTTAAAAAAAAAAGTGTTGGCTTTAGATATACTTTTAGTCTTGGGAACCGTGGAGATGGTACGGTTGTTTGGCCAAGCGTCAGGAGGAAGGGCAGTGACCATATAGAGGAGTATTTGGAGATGAAGAAGATCAGAAGATGATGTCATGCAGGTGGGTCACTATTACTGCTGTCGTCTTTTGAGCAAAGCTTCTCTTCATAGGGCCGGTGTTCTATCAAAGTTTGCAACTGCGTTAGAATGTGTGACCGGGCACGTGGTCACACATTTTAACGTAATCCCGCCCAGTTTTTTGCCAGTGGAATGTGTGACTGCTCACGTGGTCACACATTTTAATGTAATCCCGCCCTGTTTTTCGGCGGTGGAATGTGTGACCGCTCACGTGGTCACACATTTTAACGTAGTCCCGCCCAGTTTTTCGCAGATGGAATGTGTGACTGCAAAAAGGTGAAGCGTTCCAACGACGCTTTCTCAGCTGTTCCAGGGCACATCGGGATTGCAGATCGTAGGTGCAGGAGAACCGATCTGCCCTGGAACAGCTGATCGGTCATGAAATGCAGTGGCGTCACAAGAGGGGGTGCAGCCCGCACCCAGGTGACACCATTAGAGGGGTGACACCAAAATGGCTGACAGTCATTTTGGTGTCACCCCCTCTAAACATGGGCCGGGTGCCAGGAGAGAGGAGGGGACCCGGCGGGATACCTCATCCCCCCGGGTGAACGTCCTCTCCTCTCTCTGCCGGCGTTCATCCCTAAGCCCTGGTTCACACCTAGGCGTATTGCATATGCACGTCTGTGGCACGTTTTTTTACCGCGATTCGCGGTAAAAAAAACGCGCGACAAACGCGCGTTTCCGAGGGCTACTTGGCTGTATCCCAATGGAAATCGGGATATCCCAATGGAAATACCATCTGCGATGCCGGTTCCCCTTGCCATTGAACAGCTGACAAAGCGTTGGAATGCTTGACCCGTTGGTGGTCACACATTCCACCTCCGAAAAAGTGGGTGGGATTAAGTTAAAATGTGTGACCACGTGACCGGTCACACACTCCAACCTAGTCACAAACCTTGATAGAACACCGGCATTGTTTTGATTCCTTTGCAGGCCCGATTCATAAGCTCGTCCATTTCTACCTCCACATGGGCCAGCAACAAGATCACATGACTTCTGCCTGATAGGGGTTTGTGTGTGTCTAAATATGTTCCTGAAATGTATCTGGGAACCTTATTAGATTTCTCTTTAGTGGCCTATTACCATTCATGAGAAAACAAAGGCGGATTAAAAAAAAAATGTTACGCGTTTCAGGGGCACTCCCTCTTCATCAGGGCTCAACACAGGATAACTAGTGGACTCTTCTCATGGAGTAACAGTTGCTGAGCAGGTTGTCTGGTCACCCAGACCTGTTGAGCCCTGATGAAGGGGGAGGAGTCTGACCCCCAAAATGTGTTAGCTATTTTATATGACCTATTTAGTATCATCTTGGACTCTTGCGTCCATTTTTTGGTCTGTGGCCCTTTGTTGTAGTTCTATGGTTTGAACTACTGTTGGGTATCCATGGAAATATGTTGTTCTGGTAGTAACCCGTCACCCTCTACTTCTTCCAGATGGACAATACAATGGGAGTTACCCGGGGAAATGTCCCTTTATGTCTCCAGGGACAGAAAATGAGGTCAGAGAAGATTCAGCAGAGGAGAACCCCATCCCACCAAGTCTCCATTCAGTGCTTTCTACGGCAGGTCTGTCCTTTGATTCCTCTACACATGGGGGCAGTTATGCCAATCTCTCTCCTCGTGTCACCCAACCCCCTGATGGTAGCGGGGGTGAAAGGTTCCCGTGTTCTGTGTGTGGAAGAGTGTTTGCCCAGAGAGCGATCCTCATCTCTCACCAGAGAAACCACACGGTGGAGGAGCCATACTCCTGCCCCATCTGCGGCAAATGTTTTTCTCGGAAATCCACTTTCATCGAACACGAAAGGACCCACACGGGTGAGAAGCCGTATTCCTGTTCCGAATGCGGGAAACGTTTCACCCAAATAGGGCACCTCATCGTCCATCAGAGAATTCACACTGCGGAGAAGCCATATCCATGTTCTGAATGCGGAAAATGTTTCACCCAGATAGGGCACCTTATCGTGCATCAGAGGACTCACACCGGGGAGAAGCCGTATTCATGCTCGGAATGCGGGAAACGGTTCCCTATCAGTTCGGCTCTTACCAGGCACAAGAGAATCCACACGGGGGAAAAGCCGTATTCGTGTTCGGAATGCGGGAAATGTTTTACCCGGAGATCCTATCTGTTCGTCCATCAGAGGACTCATAGCGGGGAGACGCCATAAATCCATTCGGAATGAAACAAGTGTTATACCGAGAGCAAGACTTGTCATAAAATAATTTGCACCGGTGTCTGGCTATGTCTTTGCTATGTGTGTGGGAAAGGTTTTACTGATGCCTCAAACTTAACTAGACAATATCAGACACAAGCGTTAAAGCCGATGTAAACGCCATCAATAAAGTCTTATATACGCTCTTATGTGTTAATGTCATTTACCAATTTGTTTCAATCTTTTACAATCTACTGATTTTATTAAAATATTCCCTGGTCATCCTGCCATTGAGGTCCATGTTCAGGCACTTCCTAGGGTGACACCTGTCGACACCTGTTGTCAACCTGTCACATTCTTCACTGACAGAGACTAAAGGTGGCCGTGCTGACACAGATTGCATGGGACGGTACACTGCTGTTGCTGTCGGAATTCGGCATGACCATCCTAAGCCTGTTTTTTGGAGCGCCATGTCTGGCGCCTGCTGAATTGGACGTTGTAGGGATTAGCCTGGAAGTGACCTTCAGTTACCGGGTTCCACGTGAGGCACTTTCCAGACTACATTCAGGTAACAAGTTAGCACTTTCCAGGTCCAGAAGCATTGGCATTGCCTCAGCACTTGCCTTGTCCATGAAGACTCTGAGTAGGCCGATTAGGCTACTACCTCATTTACTACTACTCATTTATCTCACTGGGTGCCTTTAAAACTCCCGCTTACTATGGGGTTCTGAATTGTTTAGATTACATAGCCCACCTGAGAGTCAGCACAGCCCACCTGAGAGCCTGCACAGCCCACCTGAGAGTTCACATAGACCACCTGAGAGTCCACACAGCTCACCTGAGAGTTCACATAGACCACCTGAGAGTCCGCACAGCCCATCTGAGACCCCGCACAGCCCACCTGAGAGTTCACATAGACCACCTGAGAGCTTGCATAGCCCATCTGAGACCCCGCACAGCCCACCTGAGAGTTCACATAGACGACCTGAGAGTCTGCACAGCCCACCTGAGAGTCCGCACAGCCCACCTGAGACCCCGGACAGCCCACTTGAGAGTCCGCACAGCCCATCTTAGACCCCGCACAGCCCATCTTAGACCCCACACAGCCCACCTGAGAGTCTGCACAGCCCACCTGAGAGTCCACATAGCCCACCTGAGAGTCCGCACAGCCCACCTGAGAACCTGCTTAGCCCACCTCAGAGTCCGCACAGCCCACCTGAGAACCTGCGTAGCCCATCTCAGAGTCCACACAGCCCACCTGGGAATCCACAAAGCCCACCTGAGAGTCCGCAAAGCCCATCTAGAGCCCGCAGAGTGCACCTGAGAGCCTGCAGAGTCCACCTGAGAGCGTGCACAGCCCTGGTGAGAACCCGCACAGGCCACTTGAGACCCTAGAGACATCAGGCTGCCACCCCTCGCTCTCCTATAGCCTCCCAAAATAAATTGTTGCGCGTGGCTCTAGAGTGTTCGGGTTTTACTTGAAGAAAAAGTGGCAACCCTAGCTGAAGGACTGAGTGCTGATGTGATCCACGGGTTGGCGTGTTGTGCGCTGGTGTGCTCACTGCTCTCTTTTCCACCATTTAGCATTGATGAAGTATCCCCACCGCTGCTCCTGCTTGCAAAGAGCCAATTGGAACTCCCATAATCGGTTCATGCCTGCTGCCCACCTTCAATGACCACGGTCACCTCCGTCCATCTGACCCTCACCTTACTACCAGCTGTTTGGGTTTTGTGAGCACGTTGAGGCCTTGCCTTGTACTCTGAGCCTTACTTTGCTTAACCACAATGCGGGTGCAACGTGTCTGATTTTAGACAAGGGTGGGACAGTATCGGGTGCCCCCAGTGGGACAGTACCGGGTGCCTCCAGTTCACATTATACTAACGGCCCTGGTGCTGTTTGCAGCTCGCCTACTGATGTGACTGACGTCTGAAGCCTGGAATCTTGTCGCCCTCTTGTCCTAGAACCTATTCCAGCTTCATGGTTTTTCTGAGCTCCGTTAGGTACGGCCAACTCCTCTGTCCCCTTGGCTGAGTTTCTTACTACAGCCATGCAAGACTTTATGGCCCATAATCACCAAGTCATTTGCTGCCTTTGACTGCAGAGGTCACAAGGGTGCGTCTGCGCCTTCTTCTGCATATTCTGGAATGGGTCTGCTTGTGAGCTCTGAACCATCAACCACTGAGACACTCATGCTGGGTCGCTCCAATCCTTATTGGGTAAGCTTGCCCCTGAGGAATTGCAGTTACTCCCAAATTAAAAGAGGCCATATCGGCTCTTATTGATGTGATGCGCACCCCTCTGAAACTAGTAGCCTGTTGCCTCTACTATTGCTGCCTATAGTCTTGGACCCTTTGGAGCCCATACGACTACAAAGGCTTTCCAAGTGCACCCGCTGTTCTAAGTTTTCCTTGAGAGACAGGAAACACCCAGACAAGATGTTTGCTCCCTCCAGTGCTTTTTAGGCTTGTATGCATTTAAAAAGGACTTAAATAAAAAATGGGTGTAGCTGGTGGTGTCCTACCTCAACAAAGTGACCACCATACCGGTGCAGGGTGGTCATAGCGGTGGAGTGTGCTCATACCGGTGGAGGGTGGCCATACCGGTGGAGGGTGGTCATACCGGTGGAGGGTGGTCATACCGGTAGAGGGTGGTCATACCGGTGGAGGGTGGTCATACCGGTGGAGGGTGGTCATACCGGTGGAGGGTGGTCATACCGGTACTGCAGAGGTCACAAGGGTGCGTCTGCGCCTTCTTCTGCATATTCTGGAATGGGTCTGCTTGTGAGCTCTGAACCATCAACCACTGAGACACTCATGCTGGGTCGCTCCAATCCTTATTGGGTAAGCTTGCCCCTGAGGAATTGCAGTTACTCCCAAATTAAAAGAGGCCATATCGGCTCTTATTGATGTGATGCGCACCCCTCTGAAACTAGTAGCCTGTTGCCTCTACTATTGCTGCCTATAGTCTTGGACCCTTTGGAGCCCATACGACTACAAAGGCTTTCCAAGTGCACCCGCTGTTCTAAGTTTTCCTTGAGAGACAGGAAACACCCAGACAAGATGTTTGCTCCCTCCAGTGCTTTTTAGGCTTGTATGCATTTAAAAAGGACTTAAATAAAAAATGGGTGTAGCTGGTGGTGTCCTACCTCAACAAAGTGACCCCCATACCGGTGCAGGGTGGTCATAGCGGTGGAGTGTGCTCATACCGGTGGAGGGTGGTCATACCGGTGGAGGGTGGTCATACCGGTGGAGGGTGGTCCTGTCTTTAAGGACGCAGTCTATAAACAGATGGAAGCCCTAAGTTTGAAGGCTAATTGATTAGCCTGTATTTGTGGGAGGAGTCTGTTCCCTCCTCTCCCACATAAAACGGGCAGGTAGACTCACCTGGGCACCGCTTTCGTCAGCATGACCCGCCCACCCGGTCCCTTCATTCAAAGATTTCACAGAGTATGCACCCTCATTGGCATACTGTCCATCCGGATCAAGGCACACCTCAGGTCAGTATTGGGTTTACTTGCCCTTATGGCAAAAGGATTCCGAACACAACTACAGTTTGTTCTTGCTGGCAGGCCCTCCTTTGAATCCCATCTTAGCTGTAACCTTGCGTTGCCAAACCCTGGCTGATTGGTCAAAGTCTCTTGCCACTGCTGCGGTTGATTTCTTGACCATGAATCCATTGGAACAAATAGTTGTGGCTTTAGGCTTCCGTTGTGATGGGCTTCTGGAAGTTTCCCCATCAGATTTCCTGCATGTCAGTACACAAGCGAGGGTAACGTGTTGGACTGTAGAACCTGTGTCTAAAAAGCATATGTTCCGCATGGGCTTCGAGGGCCAATCTACCCTGAATACCATTATCAAGGATGCTACTGGTGGCAAGATCATCCATATTCCTTAGGGGAAGAAGACTAAGAGCCAGGCTGCTAAATACTAGTAAAGAAAGGTCCCGTTTGTTTCTTCACTCCTGTACCAGCCACGTCCAGACCCTGCGAGCTTGACTCCAAGTCCACCCGCAGCGGCCGCCAAATCCTCAGGCAAACCTTTATCTGCACAATAGTAAGCCCCTACTTTCCAAAGCAAGGGAACGTTGGTTAACCTTTGCTGGAACCTGCACATACGTAGGTGCAGGAGGTGGTTTCTAAGGGCTACAAGCTGTTGTTTCACTTCCTGTCCCTTCTTCAGTTTCTCACCTCCAACCTTCCTGTGTCACCAGATTAGCAGATTTCCCATCAAGGCGTCTCGGGTCTTCTGGATCAAGGCGTCATGGTTCCAGTTTCTCTATGAGGGGTTTTACTCCAACCTGCTCACGCTTACCAAACCCAAGGGCGGCATACAGGGGCGTCCGCCGGCAGGGAACCGGGTGAGACCCCGCAGTGACGACATTGAGCATGTGCAACAACATCGCGTCACGCGCTGTTACCTGCTGGTGGCCATCTTGGACATCGGCAGAGAGAGGAGGGGACATTCACCTGGGTGGGAAGATATGCCGCTGGGTTCCCTCCTCTCTCTCTCTCTCGAGCAACTGTCGGGCTGTCGGTCAATGACCGAGTGCCCGGCTTTTCAGAGTGGGTGACTTTCATTTTGGTGTCACCCCTCCAATGGTGTCGCCCGGCCCCCTAGTGAGGCCACTGAGGGCATACACACCATCTTGGATCTCAAAGCACTGAATGCCATCTATTGAGATTAGAAATGTCACATAGAAACTACCAGGTCTGCAATGACCTCCCCTGGTTTGTCTCCGTATATAGGGATCCCGTACTGGGAGCAGTGGATGCTCGATTGAACTCATGGGATCATTACACCCCGATCTAAACCACTCCTCCCCTAAAACTTCTTCCGCGTCTGCTTTGCAGGATTGAGATGCAGGGCATGCCTGCAATCTTCATTGCTCCAGACAGATGTGGTACTCTGACCTGGTAAGACTCCTACAGGCGTCGGATTGTTCCATTTCTTCTGTCTTCTGGGACAATTTACCATCTTGCTGCCCAGGTTGCTGGCTTTCATGGCATGACGTTTGAAGCTCAGGTTTTGAGGGACGGGGGCATTTCTAAATCAATGATTCTATGATGTTAAAAGCTAGGAAGTGGGGGGCGTGGCTTGGACATGGCGGCGTAAAGACGCGAGTTTGAGGAGCTCTGCACCCTAACGGCCCATACAGTGGTACCAGTGACTATAAAAGCTAGGAAGTATACTTCCCACAACGTCTAGCATTGGGCATGGAAGGCACACTTTACTTGGTGCGAGTCTTGGGAAATCCACCCTAAACGGTTCTCCGAGGGGCAAATGCTCTCCTTCATACAGCTGGGTCTGGACCAACGTTTGGCGCTGAACACGATCAAAAGTCAGGTTTCTTTCCTTTCTACCTGTTTCAAGAACCTGTTGGCCTTTCATTCCTTGACTCCTGTGCCTGCGAGCCCAAGGGGTCTCAATCTGTTTCTCTCTGCACTTGGCAAGCCATCATTTAAACTAGGGATGTCCCGATACCACTTTTTCAAGACCAAGTACTTGCCGATACCAATTACCGATACTTTTTCTTAAAAGGGACATTGTTTACAAAAACAATACAGACTAATGATTTTAGGGCCTCAACAGGGCTCCATATAGATCTCACCAGTCTGCGTTCCGAATCTGTACGAAGCCTGGTGAGATGTGTACGCAGCCTGGTGACATCTGTAGTCCACATCCCAGCAGGCTGCCTCCAGATCCCACAAGGCTGCGTCCAAATCCCACCAAAGCTGCGTCCAGATCCCACCAGGCTGTGTCCAGATCCCACCAAAGCTGCGTCCAGAGCCCACCAGGCTGCGTCCAAATCCCACCAGGCTGCGTCCAAATCCCACCAAAGCTGCGTACAGATCCCACCAAAGCTGCGTACAGATCCCACCAGGCTGCGTCCAGATCCCACCAAAGCTGCGTCCAGATCCCACCAGGCTGCGTCCAGATCCCACAAAAGCTGCGTCCAGATCCCACAAAAGCTGCGTCCAGATCCCACCAAAGCTGCGTCCAGATCCCACCAGGCTGCATCCAGATCTCACCAAGGTTGTATTGGGTCTCTCCCTGGCTCTTACAGGCGGTGTGCGAGTGCCGAACGGAGCGAATGCCCGCTCTGAGACTGTATTCGCGGTGTGGGGCTGCCTCGAGCAGTGCCTGCGCCAGGAAGGAGGAGGAGGGCATGTGGGACCTGGCAGGCAGTGTCAAAGACAGCTACTGCCAGGTCCCCGGAAGGCTGCTTCAGGACCCCACGAGCGCGGGACCTGAGGCGGCCGATCCAACTTAAAAATGTAAAGGGCCGGTATTGTCCTTCAGCATTTTTCACGGGTACAAGTACTCGTGAAAATGCCCTGTATCGGCCCCGATACGAATACTAGTATCGGGACATCCCCAACTTAAACCCATTAGAGAAATTCTATTTACTACTCTCACCCAGAAGGTGGTATTCCTTGTAGCCATAACTTCTGCGAGGCAAGCATCTTAACTGGTGGCCTTCTCCGGCAAGGAAACCTTGATGGTTCTGTTTAGGGGCAAGGTGATGTTGAGGCCTAGGACTTCGTTCCCGCCTAAGATAGTTTCTGCCTTGCACTTCAACCAGGACATCGCTCTTCTGGCCCCTCCGTCCGACTCCAGTTCACCAAAAAGTAATGTTCCTCCATTTCCTTGTAAGGGAGTTCGGTAGTTTGGGTGTAACTGCTGCGGTTGATTTCTTGGCTATAAAACGTTTGGTGGTTTGGGATGGGAGAGACGATCTCTCAGCCACTGCTTCTTTCAGAAAGACCGGATCCCTTTGTGCCATTCTGGATGGTCCCCAGAAGGGGGCACCAGCTTCTCGCCCCAACATCTCTAGGTGGCTCAGACAAACCATTACGCAAGCTTATGGTCACAAGGGTTACGTTCCACCCATTCCTGTCGAGAGCAGTTAAATAAATCTGTGACTGCGGATATCTTTTTTTTTGTAAATTAGTAATCCCCCCCCTAATAGTTATTATGAACAAAGGCAGACATGTTTGTAGTCCACTCCAGTCCTACCAGTAAATGTAGCCACCCAGAGGCAACTGTGACTCAGGTCCTAGAACACCTCCGCCTGTAGGGACCGCTCTACAAGCCCCAGATGCTATTGGCTGAGACATTCTGCCTGACACTTGTCTACACCTTGGACGGAAATGGTTGATAAGGCCAAAATGTGAGGCCCATGACAAGATCCACTCGACTTCTCTTGCCACAATGAGACATCTGGTTCCAACCTGAAGAGGAAATGCCACTGCGTTGTCTGACTGCAGCATTGGATGAGCCTGCTGTGAGGTCATGCATTCAAAGACAGCCAAAAGCTCCAGGATGCGGATGAGATTCCTCTAATGACCGACAGGGTGCCCAGGACTCCTCCCAAACATCTGTTGTAAGGATCTTCCAGAAGATGGAAAGGAAGGGCCTTCGTACTTCCATAACTGGAATTCCGAGCCACCAAGCCAGGGACGACCTGGACCTCGGTGCCTAATGACTGTCAGCTAGCACTGAGGCCAGCACCTAGGTGAACAGCGTGGGAGAAGACATGGCAGGAGCTTTCATTAAACGCAGGAAACGCTGGTGTGTTCTCAATAAGGGAGCACGCAGATCCACGTTCATAATGTCTACAAAAGCCGGAACTCGTTCCTGACGAAGGGAGGCAATTGCAGACCCGATGGATTCCTTGTAAAATTGATGAGCCCAGATAAAGACCTGCAATGGTTTGAGATCGAAGATGGGGCACGTGCCGCCTTCGGGTAGGGGAACTGTGAACATGTTGGTGTAAAGCCCTTGAAACAGATTTTGATTTGGCCAAAGCTTTAAACTCTCGTATCTGCTCGGGCTTGTGAGTTAAAAAAAACTGTTCTTAGGATTAGGGATCTCATTCCTTATACATGACCATTCGACTTGGTATCAAAGAAGAGACCCAAATGATTAAAATTAGGGATGTCCCGATACCACTTTTTTAAGACCAACTTCAAGTACTTGTACTCATGTACTTGCCGATACCAATTACCGATACTTTTTCTTAAAGGGACCCGTCACATTTTTTTTCTAAAACACAGACTGATGATTTTAGGGCACTTTCTCACCAGGGCTAAATACGGATGTCACCAGAACTGAACACACGTCCCCAGAGCCGAACACATGTCCCTAAGGCAGGATAGTATTCTGCTTTGGGGACATGCATTCTGCTTTGGGAACATGTGTTCTGCGAATACATGTCCCCAAAGCAGAATTCCTCTCATCAGGCTGCGTGCCGATCTCACTGGGCGACGTGGACATCCACCGTGGCTCTGCGGGCACTCCACCTCACCGGCGATGTCAGGACCCGGCCTCCCCCACGTCCAGACCGGCAATGTTGCCACGTCCGGTCCTCCCCATCAGTGTGCGGCAGAAACCCCCAGCTTCTAGCCCCGGGGCGGTACTCCCGCCCCCTGGGGCTGTCCATGGATGTGCCTGTGCCGGGAAGGAGATAAAGAACCGGACCGGCACTGCCATGGACAAGTGCGGGAACTCGGACGGCCACAGCGCCACAGCTATGGTTATTTTCTGCTATTGCCATGACCCTGCTATGTGCTGCATTGTATATCGTTATGGTGCATGCCTGACATCTAGTGGTAGAGTAGCATTACTACAATGTGGTTTTCTCCATACATTTGGTATTTCCCACAGTTCTTCCCTCCTGTTTAGTGTCAGTTGGTATAGTCTTAGATCCTTTCTTCTCAAGGATGTGGAATTCCTATCACCTGACACCCAGGAGATGCAGTTTTAGGTGCGGGGCGGGACATGTTTGTTCTACATTTAGCCCTGCTGCTGGGTAGCAGAGGTAACTGTAGATCGAGGGAGCCGCCGTTCATTTATTACAAGTGAACTCAGATCAATGTTCAGCCCCCCCCTATTGTGGTTTTTGGAGTCCCCCCACTCCTCTGAGGGACCCGGGACCACGGCAAATAAGCTCAGGATAGAGAGCGGTGAGCAGAGCGAAGAACGTCTGTTCTCCGTGACCAGTGAAACCGGAGCTCTGAAATCACAGAGCCACCTGTCTCAGCTGTCGGAAACTGCACAGAAGATCTGTTCTGTGTTGGAGGGCAGGTTCCATAAAGAGGACCTGTCGCCTCCAAACTATCCCATAAGAGCTTGTCAAATGACTAAGAAACATCCTCTGTAAAGAGCTCTGAGAAATAAAGCTTCACTGGATTAAGCTTCTGTATTTTATTGGAGAGTTAAGCTGTCTGTGGATTGCGCTGATTCAGCTAGTGACCATACTGGCCGGAAGGATCAAGGTCCAAAGGAGGAATAGCAAAGTATAAAGCAGCTCTTGAAAGAGAACAAGCAGTGTGCCCATACAGGAGCCAAACTTGGAAGTAAAACATTTCCTGCACTCTGAACATGAGGACATTATAACTGTGTACAGCAACGTATGGGAGTTCTGAGTTGTGTGGACCGTTACTGCAATAACCTCTTTCACGGCTTCTTCTCAGAGTCCTTTTATAATATACTAAAGCCGAGTGCCTAGTAAAACAATTAGCATTATGAATATGGCTTATTCCCATTGTGAATTCTCTTATGAATTTTAAGAAGGTTCAGCTGACTAAAACATTTCCCACACTCTGAACATGAATACGGCTTCTCCCCCGTATGAGTTCTTATGTGTGACTCAAGACTGGATCCTAGAGGGAAACCTTTGCCACATTCTGAACACAAAAATGGCCGCTCCCCTGTGTGAGTTTTCATATGAGTAACAAGAGTTGATTTCTTAGTAAAACTTTTCCCACATTCCGAGCACGAATAGGGCTTCTCCCCCGTGTGAATTCTTTTGTGAGTAGTGAGACTTGAATTCTCCGCAAAACATTTCCCACATTCAGAACACAAATACGGCTTCTCGCCGGTGTGAGTTCTCTTGTGATTAACGAGAGCTGAGCTCCTAGTAAAACATTTCCCACACTCCAAACATGAATACGGCTTCTCCATTGTGTGAGATCTCCTGTGATAAATGAGAGCTGAACTTTCGGCGAAACATTTCCCGCATTCCGAACACAAATACGGCTTTGCCCCGGTGTGAGTTCTCTTGTGATTAACAAGAGCTGTACTCGTGGTAAAGCATTTTCCACATTCTGTGCACAAATACGGCCTTTCCCCGGTGTGAGTTCTCTGGTGAACACGAAGAGCTGAACCTGTAGTAAAACATTTCCCACATTCAGAACATGAATATGGCTTCTCCCCGGTGTGAGTTCTCTGATGTTGGAGAAGTTGGAACTTTGTGTTGAAACATTTTCCGCACTGGGGGCAGGAATACGGCTTTATGCCTATATGAAGCTGTCCATGAGAAACAAGAGAGGACTTGTGGGTGAAACCTTTCCCGAAATCTGAACCCAAAGATGGCTTCTTTCCTGTGCGAGTTCTTTTTCTATGATCTGGATGATGGGTGACGGGTGGTGAGTGATCGGGAAAACTCCAAGGTGTGGAGGGATCATGTGACAGATGCGCCCTCATGTCACTCATGATGTATTGTCCATCTGGAGGAGATAAGGGACAGAAGGCCATCAAGAATTGTTATACTGCAAGACAAAGCTCTACCCGTCACATATATCAGTGGAGAGCAGAGAACTAAACTTCTACATGCAGTTGTACACGCCTGTTGCTGTGACAGATCTGTCATTTATGGTTTCTCTAACATGCAAGGCTGACCTGTTTCCTGTGCGGTTTCCTGTACTCAGCTACACAGCCAATCCCCTCCCCCTCTGGCAGTCTTCTCTGTAATTTAAGCCATGCTCTCTCTCTTGTATCCTTGGCTGAGCAATACTTGTGTTCCTAGCATCAGGCCTTGTTCCTGGTGACCCCCCAGCCTGTGTCCTGCGAGACATTCCTTGTGACCCTTAGTTTCCCCGAGAGAAGTTCAGAGTGCTCCCCAGGGATCCTGAGAGAAGTTTCCATTCATAGTGTCCCCTGTGTTTCTAAAGGAAGATCTTGTTTCTTCTGATCTGCAGTGTCCCTGAGAGAAGTTCCTAGAGACCCCTAGTGTCCCTGAGAGAAGTTCCTAGAGACCCCTAGTGTTCCTCAGAGAAATTCCTGGAGACCCCTAGTGTTCCTCAGAGAAATTCCTAGTGACCCCTAGTGTCCCTGAGAGAAGAAGTTCCTAGAGACCCCTAGTGTTCCTGAGAGAAGTTCCTAATGACCCCTAGCGTCCCTGAGAGAAGTTCCTAGAGACCCCTAATGTCCCTGAGAGAAGTTCCTAGAGACCCCTAGTGTCCCTGAGAGAAGTTCCTAGAGACCCCTAGTGTTCCTGAGAGAAGTTCCTAGAGACCCCTAGTGTTCCTGAGAGAAGTTCCTAGTGACCCCCTAGTGTCCCTGAGAGAAGTTCCTAGTGACCCCTAGCGTCCCTGAGAGAAGTTCCTAGAGACCCCTAGTGTCCCTGAGAGAAGTTCCTAGTGACCCCCTAGTGTCCCTGAGAGAAGTTCCTAGTGACCCCCTAGTGTCCCTGAGAGAAGTTCCTAGTGACCCCTAGTGTTCCTGAGAGAAGTTCCAAGAGACCCCTAGTGTTCCTGAGAGAAGTTCCAAGAGACCCCTAGTGTTCCTGAGAGAAGTTTCTAGTGACCCCTAGTGTTCCTGAGAGAAGTTCCTAGAGACCCCTGGTGTTCCTGAGAGAAGTTCCTAGAGACCCCTGGTGTTCCTGAGAGAAGTTCCTAGAGACCACTGGTGTTCCTGAGAGAAGTTCCTAGAGACCCCTGGTGTTCCTGAGAGAAGTTCCTAGTGACCCTTAGCCTCCCTGAGAGAGGTTCCAAGAGACCCCTAGTGTTCCTGAGAGAAGTTCCTAGAGATCCCCGGTGTCCCTGAGAGAGGTACTCAGATCCCAGTGCCCGCCAGTGATCCTGAGAGAAGTATCCACTCCTATTGTCCCTAGAGAAACACTGGTCCTAGTGCCCATGTTTTCTCTTTGAGTGTCTCTGGTGTCTGTGAATAAAGATGAGTGTGAAGCCCCCTGTACTGAGATGTATGAGAGACCCCAGAGAGTGTGTGGGGGGAGAGACTGGTCACGTCTCTTGGCTGGTAACACACAATGACATGATGTGAGAAGAGCCGGAGTCTAATAGAGGCTGATGGCTCCTGACTCCCCCCACTAGACATATTCCGTCCCCCCATTACTGTCTACTGACAGAGGAGGGGGAGAAGAAGAGATTGTTGTAGTGACTGAACAAGGAGAATCTGGGACTCTTCTCTGGATTTACTGTTTGTTCCTCACCTGTGCTGATCTCTGGAGAACGTTCCTCCTCCTTACACAAGACATCATCCATCACAAGCGTTTCATTATCCTCAATTTTAACCACAATCAGGCTGTCACCCTGGAGAAGATACAATATATTGCTTGCAACGTTAGCAGCATTATAATTAAAAAAGAACAAACATTGTCAGGATTAGCAGGTTATAAAAAGTGGGGGAAAACTGGAGTAGGAAAATAAATGCAGCAACTTCATCTAAGAACAGGAAATCTGCAATATGATAAATTTTTGTTTTTGAGTTCCGAAAAGGTTTAAGATCAAACATAACATAAGCTTAATTTCCTCCTACCAGATCATCCTGACTGCTCTCCTGATGTTCCTGTGTGGAATCCCGGGAATACAGAGGACGGGCCTGAGGGATCTCATGATGTTCCTGGGTGGAATCCCGGGAATACAGAGGACGGGTCTGAGGGATCTCCTGATGTTCCTGTGTGGAATCCCGGGAATACAGAGGACGGGCCTGAGGGATCTCATGATGTTCCTAACCTCAGATATTAGGGAGTCAATGGGGCTCAGTTTCCTGTTGCAACTTGGTGACACACCAGTCATGTGATCATCAGATGGCTTCTTCACTACAATAAATTCCTGTGTTTGAGGGGAAGATAAATAGCAGTATATAGAGAAGAGAACCCCAACCATAAATCAATACAACTTCACAAAATCTTTATTAAGGTCTGTGTTTTATTAATAAGGATAAGAGTGATGTCATGTGACCTCCCAGAATCCTCCTCACCTCTCCAGTCAGCAGGTAGATGATCTCCAGGGTGAGGTGTAAGATCCTCTCAGTCATGTGACCGCGCTCCGTCTCCATCAGGTTTGAGGTTTCTCCTTAGTTGTCCCCGGACACAGAAATCTAAAGACAGGACGAGGAAAGAACCTCCAGGTGACACATTCTACAAGAGATATAGAAAGGGAGAAGTATGGACACAGAGAGGAAGAGAGACATGAAGAGGGAGGACAACCATATCAGGACACACCTATCTATGGAGATGAAGAGAACCTGTCATAGCTGGGGGAACACACACCTCAGAGCAGAGCTCCCAGTCATCAGCCTGACCCCCCACAATAGGGAATGTGGCTTTCCTCAGGCCTGGTATGGGACTGGGAACAGAGGGGAGCCGGGCAAGAGGAAGAGGAGACTTTTATTTCCCTTCTGACCAAATTCAAATGTAACCACCCCACCTGTGTGCTTCATACAGGACATGTCACCTGACTGAAGTCACATGACCCCTCTTCCCTTCCCCAGAGAGTGCTGGAACCCCCTTCCCTCAGAATAAAGAAGACATTATTACCTCCTCTTCTCTGGTCACACACTCTGCAGAAAGAAGCATCTTAGTTGTAAAACTATCCACGCTACCACATCCGGGCTACAACAAAATGGACACCTGCAATGAGGCGACTTGCAACTCACCCACATCAGACGACCGCCCTCTAGTGGTGGCTCCACTGCGGAATAAACGGTTCTCTGTCACTGGAGGATTTGTACGGGGCGTTACTATGGCAACAAGACACAGGCCGCGCACCGTAGCAACACACAGCGGACGTGCAGGAGCCACAGGTCGGAAGTGGAAAGAGAATTGTAATTAGAGAGAGGGGACAGACATTTTTTTAAGCCTGAGAGGGGTGTCCTGCTATCCAGCCGGGGACAGAGAAATAATACAACAGAATATGTAACTATGAGGAGGAGGAGGAGGATTTCTGGGCTTTAGTATTTTAGCCCTCATTCCTCCTCTATATGTGTATATCGCCAATACTGGAACTCTATTATCTACCCAGAGCGCCACCTTCTGACTGGATGTCATATTATTGGGGCCTATTCACAATATAGCATTGCTCTTTAACATAAAGGATTTGGCATACCTCGCCTCTCTCTGGCTTAGCTCACCTCGCTTCTCTCAGGCCTAGCACACCTCTCCTCTCTCAGGCCTAGCGCACGTCTCCTCTCTCAGGCCTAGTGCACATCGCCTCTCTCAGGCCTAGCATACCTCGCCTCTCTCAGGCCTAGCGCACCTCACCTTCTCTCAGGCCTAGTGCACATCGCCTCTCTCAGGCCTAGCATACCTCGCCTCTCTCAGGCCTAGCGCACCTCACCTCTCTCTGGCCTAGCGCACCTCGCCTCTCTCTGGCCTAGCGCACCTCGCCTCTCTCAAGCGTAGCGCACCTTACCTCTCAGGCCTAACGCACCTCGCCTCTATCTGACCTAGCGGACCTTGTCTCTCTATGGCCTATCGCACATCGCCTCTCTCTGGCCTAGCACACCTCTCTCAGGCCTAGCGCACCTCGCCTCTCTCAGGCCCAGCATACCTCGCCTCTCTCAGGCCTAGCGCACCTCGCCTCTCTCAGGCCTAGCATACCTCGCCTCTCTCAGGCCTAGCGCACCTCGCCTCTCTCAGGCCTAGCATACCTCGCCTCTCTCAGGCCTAGCGCACCTCGCCTCTCTCAGGCCTAGCATACCTCGCCTCTCTCTGGCCTAGCGCACCTCGCCTCTCTCAGGCCTAGCATACCTCGCCTCTCTCAGGCCTAGCGCACCTCGCCTCTCTCAGGCCTAGCACACCTCGCCTCTCTCAGGCCTAGCACACCTCGCCTCTCTCAGGCCTAGCGCACCTCGCCTCTCTCAGGCCTAGCGCACGTCTCCTCTCTCAGGCCTAGCGCACCTCGCCTCTCTCAGGCCTAGCATACCTCGCCTCTCTCAGGCCTAGCGCACCTCGCCTCTCTCAGGCCTAGCGTACCTCGCCTCTCTCTGGCCTAGCGCACCTCGCCTCTCTCTGGCCTAGCGCACCTCGCCTCTCTCAGGCCTAGCGCACCTCGCCTCTCTCAGGCCTAGCATACCTCGCCTCTCTCAGGCCTAGCATACCTCGCCTCTCTCAGGCCTAGCGCACCTCACCTCTCTCTGGCCTAGCGCACCTCGCCTCTCTCTGGCCTAGCGCACCTCGCCTCTCTCAGGCCTAGCGCACCTTACCTCTCAGGCCTAACGCACCTCGCCTCTATCTGACCTAGCGGACCTCGTCTCTCTATGGCCTATCGCACATCGCCTCTCTCAGGCCTAGCGCACCTCGCCTCTCTCTGGCCTAGCGCACCTCGCCTCTCTCTGGCCTAGCGCTCCTTGCCTCTCTGGCTTAGAATACCTCGCTTCTCTCTGGCCTAGCGCTCCTTGCCTCTCTGGCCTAGCGCACCTCGCCTCTCTCAGGCCTAGTGCACCTCGCCTCTCTCAGGCCAAGCACACCTCTCTGTGGCCTAGCGCACCTCACCTCTCTGTGGCCTAGTGCACCTCACCTCTCTTTGGCCTAGCACACCTCTCAGCACAAATCCATTCCCTCCTCGAGGGTAATAAAAGGCCCGGTCTATACATAGAAAGCCTTTACTAAAAGTAGATCCTTAGAAAGGACAGATAACGGTTACCAATGAGAGGTGATGTTGTCAATGTGAAGCCCAGAGTCCTAGGAGGGGTTGCCCAGAGTCCTGCATACTTCTATTGGGATGCAAATAGTCCCAAATGTCCTTTGCCCCCCTCTCCTGCTTTGCACCCTAAGGGGAAGCTCAAAGCAATACATCTACATTTTGCTTTCCCTGGTCCTTACATCAGTTCCCCTTACATCAGTTCCCCCCATCAGAGTGCCCCTTACATCATTTCTCCCCATCACTAGCCCTCCCTGTAACCCCAAAACTAACCCTCTCTGTAACCTTAACACTAACCCTCCTGTAACCCCAACACTGACCCTCCCTGTAACCCCAACACTAACCCTTCCTGTAACCCCAACACTAACCCTCTCTGTAATCCCAACACTAACCCTCCCTGTAACCCCAACACTAACCCTCCCTGTAACCTTAACACTAACCCTTCCTGTGACCCCCAACACTAACCCTCCCTGTAATCCCAACACTAACCTCCCTGTAACCCCAACACTAACCCTCCCTGTATTCCTAACACTAACCCTCCCTGTAACCCTAACACTAACCCTTCCTGTAACCCCAACACTAACCCTCCGTGTAAACCCAACACTAACCCTCCCTTTAACCTTAACACTAACCCTTCCTGTAACCCCAACGCTAACCCTCCCTGTAATCCAAACACTAACCCTCTCTGTAATCCCAACACTAACCGTCCCTGTAACCCCAACACTAACCCTTCCTGTAACCCCAACACTAACCCTCCCTGTAACCCCAACACTAACCCTCCCTTTAACCCCAACACTAACCATCCCTATAACCCCAACACCAACCCTCCCTGTAACCCTCACATTAACCCTCCCTGTGACCCTCACATTAACCCTCCCTGTGACCCTCACACTAACCCTCCCTGTAACCCAACACTAATATGGTAGCTCCCTGGACAATGGACAGTTGGTTCTAAAAGATATGACCATGAAGTGCACTTGAACGGACGTGTTACAGAACGGGGGTGATCGCGGCCTTCGTAGAATAATTTTATTGGTTGGTTTGTAAAGTGTATAAAACAAGTACGATTTTGAGCCTGCCATGCATTTGGGTGTTGGTGGAAATTTGGATAAAATATAGTGTGATACATTTGGGGGTAGGGATGGCTAGAGTCATTATAATCTTTGATTCCCTTGGGGTGGGGATGGGTTTTGAGGTGTGAACATGGCTATGGCTTCTACCTGGTGTGAATTTTCTGATGTACAGCCAAGTTCTCTTTCCGCGTAAACCCTCTCCCGCAAACCAAACAAGAATACGGCTTCTCTCCGGTGTGAGTCCTCTTGTGTTTCACCAAAGCTGAACTTCCGATGAAACATTTCCCACATTCTTCACATGAATACGGCTTCTCCCCGGAGTGAGTTCTCTCGTGTAAAACAAGATGGGTCCTCTGACTAAAGCATTTCCCGCACTGTGAACAGGAATACGGCTTCTCCCCCGTGTGAGTTCTTTTGTGTTTCACAAGAGCCGAGCTCATGGCAAAACACTTCCCGCATTCCGAGCATGAATACGGCTTCACCCCAGTGTGAGTTCTCTGATGTAGAAGGAGACCAGCATTTACCTTAAAGCTTTTCCCGCATTCGGAACAGGAGTACGGCTTGTGCGGATCCGTCGGCGGGAAGCCTGCGTGAGTCCGTCGGTGGAAAACGAGATTTGACTTGTGCATGAAATGTTTGCCGCATTCCGTACATGAATATGGCTTCTCTCCTGTGTGAGTCCTCTCGTGGTTAATCAAACACCATTTACGAAGAAAACTTTTCCCGCATACGGAACATGAATGTGGCTTCTCTCCAGTGTGAGATCTCTGGTGTTGGGTGAGAGTTTCCTTCCTGGTGAAACTTTTCCCGCAAAGGTAACACAAGAACTTTTCATGACCTGTAGGATAGGTGATGGGAGGTGAGTGATTGGGAAAATCCCCCCCGGGCGTAGAGGTATGACATAATTGGCCTGCGTTGGGGAGTGCTGGATGGAGATTTGGGGAAATGGGGTCTTCTCCTGGAGAACTTAAAATGGTGTAGTTTCTGTTTTCTGGAAAATTGGTGGAAATTTTCGCCTTGTTCCGGATCTGCTGTCCATCTGGAGACAATATGAAATGGAAGACAACATGAGCACCTAAAGACCATTACAGTTGGCTGAAATAAACAGGCTTCTAGAAACTTAATGGCCATTAAACATTTTTGCCGTTTCTCACACCTAACTAAACCCTGTATGGCCAAATATTTGTTGACGTTGGACTATCACACCAACAACCTAATAACTCAAATCTGCATTCACAACTGGATGAGTCAGAGGAGTGATGCAATTCCTCTCCCAGCCTGCTCTGTAAGAAGACTCAATTGGAGAGAGACAGTAAGAAAGCACACAGATCCTGCAGTCACCCATTATGCTCAGAGACACCAGCTTCAAGGACGGGCGACATAGAGGAAGAAAGTCCGTTATTGGTGGAGACTTCCCATAACGGTTTGTGAACACTGGTGCCGGGTTCTTTTAAAAGCGACTGAATAAGGAAACATGTCAATTCTCTGGAGATCTATGAAATAGTAGCCCAAAAAAAAAATCTTTGACTCATATCTACCTGAGCCGATCCTAATGAAAGTGTCCTCCTCCTTAATCATCACATAGTCTACTTCGTCCTCCTCAGCTTTGACGTCTCTCTGGGTGTCTCCGAGGTCTGTGAATAAAGGTGACAGTGAAGCCCCCCGTACTGAGATGTATGAGAGACCCCAGAGAGTGTGTGTGGGGGGGGAGACTGGTCACGTCTCTTGGCTGGTAACACACAATGGAATGATGTGAAGAGGAGAGCCGGAGTCTAATAAAGGCTGATGGCTCCTGACTCCCCCCACTAGACACATTCCGTCCCCCCATTACTGTCTACTGACAGAGGAGGGGGGAGAAGAAGAGATTGTTGTAGCGACTGAACAAGGAGAATCTGTGACTTTTCTGGATTTAGTGTTTGTTACTCACCTGTGCCGATCTCTGGAGAACGTTCCTCCTCCTGACACGGCTCATCATTCCTTCTATACGGCTCTTCTGCTTCCTCTTTAACTTCTGTTTTACAGTCTATCTCGTTTATCTCCAGTGTAACCTACACAAGAATGAAACTATTCTTGAACATAAAGCAGTGTTGCCTCAATAACGATCGTAAAGCAAGATACTGAAACTATAGAAAGGTCTCCACCAGATCTGACTTATGTCATCTGAAGTGAACAATTAGTATCAGCACTTAGGAGAAGCTCTCCTCCAAATTGGTTGTGGTAACCTTAGGTGATGCAATTCACAAAGATGACAGCACCTACGTTTCATTCCTTAGGCCAATGAGGCATTGTGACGTTTTACAATTGCTGTAATGGACATAATGCTTCATAGAAAACAGGTGATAGTTCATATTTTGCTTCCCACTTACCTGATCATTCTGTGGGACCTGTGTGGACTCCTGAGGATAAAGAGGACATTTTCTACATTATGATTCAGAAACAAACAGTATTAGTTATTATTAGGGTCCATCTACCTGATCATCTTTATGGATCTCATGATGTTCCTGTGTGGAATTCCGGGAATACAGAGGACAGGTCTGAGGGATCTTATGATGTTCCTGTGTGGAATTCCGGGAATACAGAGGACAGGTCTGAGGGATCTCATGATGTTCCTGTGTGGAATTCCGGGAATACAGAGGACAGGCCTGAGGGATCTCAGTATGTTCCTGTGTGGAATCCCGGGAATACAGAGGACGGGCCTTAGGGATCTCCTGATGTTCCTGTGTGGAATCCCGGGAATACAGAGGACAGGCCTGCGGGATCTCATGATGTTCCTGTGTGGAGTCCCAGGAATACAGAGGACGGGCCTGAGGGATCTCATGATGTTCCTGTGTGGAATCCCGGGAATACAGAGGACAGGCCTGAGTGATCTCCTGATGTTCCTGTGTGGAATCCCGGGAATAGAGAGGATGGGCCTGAGGGATCTTCTGATGTTCCTGTGTGGAATCCTGGGAATACAGAGGACGGAGACATCTCTCTGGGGTATTTCTGTTCCTGGATCCATCTGTAAGAAACACACACACTGACTGAATACATTGTTTCTATGTCTTTATATCAGAGGATGTGTGTATCTAGGGGGATCCTCAATACTCAAGAAATGAAAGTCTCCTCTTACGCGGTGATGTGAGGGGCGGCCGGTTCTCCATCATGATGTCCTTGTAGAGGTCCTTGTGTCCTAAATATTTCCCTTCTGTGCCGAAAGAGATAAGGACATCCTGACATCTTATAGGAACCTGAAACACACAATGATACAGTCACCACCCAGACACATCCCTTGTCTGTTCCTGGATCATGTCCCAGAATTCCCGGCACCGCTCACCTCTCCCGTCAGCAGCTCAATCATCTCACTGGTGACTTCTTCAACCTTCTTGTTCTTTATCAGGGAGTGAGATGGAGGATCTATAACGCGGTTTTGGATCTTCATCATGTTGGAAGCTACCAAGCCATCGGACAACTTGAAAGCGATGTAATTCTATATTAAAAGCCAAAACACAACATGTGTCACCATCCAAAGTAGATTCAACTTCCCCAATTTAATAAAATTAATATCATTACAATAAGCTTAACCCCTCCAATCAGGTCTGTGTTTTATTAATAGAGATGAGTGATGTCATGTGACCTCCCAGAATCCTCCTCACCTCTCCGCTCAGCAGGTAGATGATCTCCAGGGTGAGGTTTAATATCCTCTCTGTCCTGTTACCGCGCTCCATCTTCAATCAGGTGATTTTTTTTTAGGTGTTTCCTCGGAAATTGTGTTTGTCTTCGTTTTGGGTCTCCCCTTTACTAAGCGTCCAATGTTTTGGGGGACAACCCACCTTTCTCAAGGCATCTATCACCGTATCGTGTGCAGGGATCACTCTTGTAGCTCTCTCAATATATATGGTGGGGCCAATAGATGGATCCTCCCACTTTCTTTTTCTAAATTCCTATAAAGAACACAGAATCATCTTTCACCACATGACTGACCCCGACAGGCTCCACGCTGTTGGAAAAAGGCGAGTTGCTGTGAAGCAAAAGACATAAAAGAAGAAAGGAAAACTGAAGTCAGAATATCTAGAGAATGACCAATAAGAAAATTCCCAGGAATGCCCCAAAGCAATGCCTA